CCGGAGACCCTTTTTACTGGAAAAGAGGCATTCTATCTTAGTCCTCACGGCTGACAACGCATCTGCATTTTAATTCGCAAACGAAGATAGATGTAGATATCTATGGGCCACAGCAACCACTTACGATCAGGTGGACTGTGTGCTCGTTTGTTACCCCTATTCTATAAAAAAAAGCCAATAGTTAAACAAACGAAAAGTTCATATATGACTTACGGGCCAGTGAAATGGTTAAATACGCCTTGCGCAAATTGAGTTCTATGATATACTTTTTAAGATTCTGCCTATATCCGTGAAAGAATGCAGCCGTATTGATATGTATGAACTAAACTCCTAGACATATCTAAATGCACCGCTGGGAAGTGTATTAAATTTCCGCGGAATCAGGTCGGCGCCGGCGCCATAATATGCAACAACATAATATGATATCCAAACATTTGCAATACGCCTCTGCGGTTTGTATCCAAGGTGATCACATACCCGATATGTGTATATCGTAATTTTGCGGATGAAATTAATAGGGATTGAAATTAAAACGCTTTTAGGTCTCGTCTAATGTACGTGGTAGAGCCATGCTGCAGCTATATTAGTAGTATAGTTGTAGTACGAATGGGTCGGCTCGACTGGGGTACACAGAGTACCAGCGTAACACTGCGGTGTTTCGTATGGTGAGTGTAGAGAACCGGAGAACCTTTTTACTGGAAAAGAGGTATTCCATCTTAGTCCTCACGGGTGACAACGCATCTGCATTTTGATTCGCAAACGAGGATAGATGTAGATGTACATATATGGGCCACAGCAACCACTTACCTTCAGATGGACTATGTGCTCGTTTGTCACCCTATCCTATAAAAAACGCAATATTTTAAGGCGTATTTTATTCAATCTTTAATAGCCCTTAAAGTTCCACGGCTGGACATGGGCCATGGGTAATGTACCGAGTAATAGTGTCGCTGCGTATATAATCCATCACTCTCTCACGTTACGTCGTCGTAAGAGACGACTGTGGAAAATTCTAAGAAGATCATGCTAGAAATGGCTTCCAAGAGATAGCGTAATCATGTCGTTTTCGCTAGGCGTAAAATAAAAGCAGCGACAAAAGTGACTTCTCACACTGCTATTGTTAGTCAACTATTCGAGCGTGGCGATTAGGACAAATGCTTCCAACAAGGTAGGCAAATTTTAATAAATAATAATAAAAAAAATAAAAATAAATAAAAAATTGATATATTAAGTCTGCAGCGGGAATAAGTCGACTCGAACAGGGAAGGACGATGCTTCAATAGGAGAACACCATAAAATATAAGAATAATAGTGCTGTGTTTCTTATAGTGGCTGTTGAAATCTGGAGCATTAACCGGTAACGACTAACGAATCATTCTATTTTCGCCTTAGGGGTAACAACGCATCTGCGTGTTTATGGACCACACCATACGCTTGCCATTAGGTATAGATTATAGACTAATAATATGTCTTTACCTATGAAATTGCCATTCTGAATTACTGGCCGTTTCAAATCAAAATAATTTTTGTTTGGCTACGTATTCTAATTTCCAATTAATTTTATTTTATAAACATGGAATTCTTTTTTCAAAATTTGTCATTTGTTTATTGGTTGGCGTTAAGTTTTCATCTCATCTGAACCTTTTTCGTCATCATGGATATGTTAAAAGTTCGAGTATTATGGAATATGATTGGAGTATTGAGTACCGTCGTCGGTTCAGCAACGCGGCACAAGCGGCACGCAACATCAACGACGTTTAAGGAGCGAATACTACAAACGAACGCACAACATTTGTATGCCCACTTCCTTTCTGGAAATTTCGACCTGAAAATGAACCCCGTGTTCGCCCGAAAACTTTGGACGACAATAACAAATTAGAGGTGATTATGGAAGCTGATGATACTCAATCTAACGCTGAATTAACAGCAGCTTTCGACGTTAGCATCAAAACAATATTGGTCCATTTGCAAAGTGAAAAAGCTTGACAAATGGTTGCCTCCCATGAACTTAACGATCGCCAGCGCGAAGTACGCGTCGAGACGTGCCTTGCACTGCTCAACAGGCACACAAACGAAGGAATTCTGAACCACATTGATAACTGCGACGAAAAATAGATTCTGTTTGACAAATGCAAGCAAATTAGTTGGATCCTGGTTCAGCACCTAAACTATGACCTAAACGAAAACTTACCACTAGAAAAGTGACGGTCACTGTTTCACAGTGTGATTTATCACAACTACAGCTTCTTAACAAACGGGATGAGCATTACTACAGATGTGTACTGTAAAGAACTGAACACACAATGTTGGAGAACCTCGCACGTCTCCAACTAGCTTTGGTCAATCGCTAGTCCTCGCTGCTACTACACGACAACGCGCGACCTCATACGGTCAACAGACGGTCTCCAAGTTACAAGAGCTGGGGTTGGAAGCTCTCCGTAATACGCCGTACTCACCAGACCTTGCTCCTACAGACTTCTACTTTTTCCAGAATTTGGATAACTTATTGGCGGGAAAAAAATTCAATACCCGAGAGGCAGTACAAAATACCTTTGAAGATTTTGTTGCTTTCCGTCCAGCTGATTTCTTCATGAAGGGCATCAATAAACTGCCACTGCGTTGGCAAAGACGCATCGATTTCATGGGTGTTTACTTTAATTAATAGAAATAAAAAATATTGAAAAAATATACTTTAACATATTTCACAAAAAACGGCAATTTCATACTTAAAGAGTAAAGACCTATTATATTGAGACCATTAAGAGAACTGAGTGCTGCATTGTCACCCTTGTTTTGTATTAAAAATACACCTAGAAAAACAATAACTAAGCGGCCACGAAGATACAAGCGTGTTATGAAAGAGTTAGAAGAATGTAAATATTTTTCTTTGCTATAATCTTTGAAAATATGAATAAAAAACTTCAGGCTTCTTCCTACGGTAAAACAAAGAACAAGATACGCCAGTCGACGCAAAGATGAATACGCATTTGTGTTCAGGAAATACTTCTGTGTCTAAATGGGTCCCTGGAAGGTTTAAAAACTCAATTGGACCCGGTAGATGGAGCTGTTGTCGAGATCTAAAAATCACGCGTACAAAGCCGGAACAGATCGCTAGTATTATATAAATTTCTTAAAATATCACGTTGTTCATTAAAATAATAAGTACGGCATTTCGAGTTTTACTTATCTTCACGCACAATCCCTGACGGGGTAGCCAGAGAGAACAGATCGCCAAGTGTCACGATCCTTACATACCTCTTTCGCTTCTTTCAGATTCATTATCTTCTTCATACATGCACGTCTAGGTATCCGAGTACTCTTGACCCTACCCTCTTCGAGCAATTTGCTCACATGGTCTTCGAAAGTTAGTCTTGGTCTACCTCGACACCTTTTAATATTAACTTTCGCGCTATATATTTTCTTCACCATTCGGTCTTCACTCATTCGCTCAACGTGCCCAAACCACCGAAGCACGCCCTTATCAATTTTCGTGATAAGGTCATCTTTCAAACCTGCCATATTGCGAATCTCTTCGTTTCGCTTTCGGTCGGCCATGGTAACGCCGCACATTTTACGAAGAGATCGCATCTCCACTGCATTCAACTTGCTTTTATGCTTCTTCTGGCATACCCAGGTTTCGCTGCCATATAACAAAGTCGGTACCAACACTGCGTTATGTATTGCAAGGCGTGCACTCTTCACCATGCCTTGCCTTTTGACTAACGCAGTCAGGGCACCATTGACTTTGTTCCCGGCAGCGACACGCCTGTCCACATCTAAATCACATCTTCCATCCCGGCTAAAAGCACTCCCCAAGTATACAATTTCATTTACTTGTTCTAGACATTCCTGATTTACCCATATTTCACACTTCGTTCTCTCTTCGTCCCTTTCAAATACCAGAACCTTAGTTTTATTAGCGTTCAAACGGAGACTTTAATTTCACATTCCTCTTTCATACACGTGACTAATGCCTGCAGTTCTGCCTCTGATGGTGCAATAAGCACTGCATCATCAGTATACAGCAGACAATTTACTTTAATGTCACCCAATTTCACACCCAAACAGCTATCTTTCAGCTTTTGTAAACAGCTGTCGAGATACAGTATGAACAGCCAGGAAGACATGACACAACCCTGTTTTACGCCCGTTTGGACGCTAAACATGGGTGACAGGTCATGCCCTACCCGCACACAGGCTTTACAGTCACAGTAAAGAGACTGCACAGCCCTTAGCAATCGGCCATCCACACCATACCCCGGCAACAGTTCCCACATTTTCTTCCTTACAACCTTATCAAATGCTTTCTCAAGATCCACAAAAGCACAGAAAATCCTTTAAAATTTCGAGTTTTAATAACGCTATACTTGATTTTGCGACCGGTGAATATAATAGCAGTATAAAAACTTTGCTTGTGTTTCATAACAAATGTAAATTATAATATGCATTATGTAGTGGCGATATCCACTACCCGAGGTCGTCCCGTGGGTGTCATAGAGGCGACGTAGGCACAAAAACCAGATGGACAGCAGCGTCCTTCTAATAACAACTAAAAATTAGAAAAATGCGGTTGCCAACCCGCCTGCCAACGTGGCAACTATGGCAAATACTTATGGGGGGTATTTGATGAGACAATCTGTGGGGGAGGCCTATGTTCAGTCCTACATGCCTATATTCAGGCCTATAGTTAGGCTTTTGATGCTACTTGTCACGGTAAAGGTATAATTAACGTGCTGGAAATGTGTATCATTATTAAGTAAATAATGAAAAGTCACTCAAAGAAATTAATTATATTGAAATATTATATTATATACCTAGAACTATAAACATTCTAGAAATCTTTGAAATATATAAAAAAACAAAAACAAAAAAATATTACCACGATACGATGGAATAACATGTATTTTGGTGAAAAGAAAGAAACGGTAGTTGCATAAATTATAAATAAATTTAAATTTAAAAGCAAGTAATAAAATGGAAATCACAAAACGATTACTCACATTGCGTAATTGAATGCAATGCCCAAGTACCACAGGGCGAAGATGATGATTCCTGAAGTCTCCGGCATGCCTTCACTGAATGGGATGCTACAACAAAACATAAAGACAACATTTTTTGAAATAAACAGTGATGATCATAAATGATTAAAGAAAATTTAATTTCGCAAAAGAATCTTATATTTAAATCATCATAGAAATTCCACCGTACCTGTTAATCATCCCGTGGATATCGTAAGAGGCGACAGAGGGAAATTAAAAAGGAGAGAAAAACTGTGGTTGCCAGCCCGTTTACCAAGCGTGGCAACAACGGCAAATATTCACCCTATAGCAAATTTTGGGGAGGCCTGTGTTCATTGGTTAGTCTGTAATGTATAATGATTGTGGTAATATGAAATTCCGGATAACTATTGGAAAATTTTAATGATATAACCTACCTACAAAAAAATATAAATGACAAACATTTGGTGGCATCGTCAAAGAATCTATCTATAATCGCCAGTGAAAACTTTGGATTATAGATTGATTCAGTGTGACCATATTGTGTGTGGACACATGGAATTATGGAACTACAATGGCGAATGTACCAGATCTAACGATTATGGCAAGTCTTCCCGATAGATAGAGGCCCATGCATGAGAAATAAATAAGAAATTTAAAAGTAATATAGTTACGTCGCGAATCCCTCACATCTCCAAGAAGCTTTTAAGAAGGACTGTGCCCAGCAAAGCATTTTGGAGTTTCAAAGAATTCATAAAAATCTCATATAGGTAATAATATTATGTCCGCATGAATAACTCAAATATACGTGAGCTGGATCATGGTTCAAGTATCTAAACAGGAGCTGTGAACCGACTCACACGTCATAGTGCATGCAGCGAGTTACGTTTACGCACTTCGTCTCCGTAATACCACAGAATAAATAATAGTACGTAATACATACGGATCTAAACATTATTTTTTACGATATTTTTATTGCTTTTTTCATGTATATAATATGTCTATTTCTTTGGCAGGTTCTGTAGCTTAAGCGGCTGGACGAATTTTAACATATTATGGGGTATTGATAGATTCGTCCAAGTTGTAGAAGTGACATAGAGTATTAAGTTTTCTCTTTTCAGTAAGTTTTTTTACGGATTCGGGTTTTTTAAATTACTGTTACCATTGGGCTTTTTTTACTTAGAGGTTCGTGTTGCGGTTTTACGGTCATCGTAAATTATTAGGACACAAGTCAGTGACAACAAATAAGCAGCTCAATAACTTCATATTAATCTCATAAACTCAAACTCAAGTGCTAAAAAAACCAACTATCTAAGAGAGAGCAATTCTAGAATTTTGCTAGTTCTCTTTTATAGATGAAACAATCCAGCTTCTCCTTTATATTTTAAGGTAAAGTTTCAATATCTTTTTTCAACTCATGATAGAGTTCTACGGTCCTCGTCTAATAAAATTTGTGTTCGAACTCATTTCGCCGGATTCCCCAGGAAATCCTCCACCGTTCAAGCTACTCTACTCTCCTTACACGAAGACATGCGAAAAGCTCCAACTAAATGTTCGTTCAAGAGATTAATTTGTAAACACCTTTTGAAACATGATATTGTTTCATGATAAGAGTGATTTCAACGGTAATAACTAATAATAGATAAATATTTATATCGTATGTGTAAATAAGGCATGTACTTTTATATGAGATTATCACAAATTAAATGTAATTTATGGGCAATAACGTTTTTGCCTACCGATCGACCCTTCCGAATGTGAGCGTGCGCAGAAAAATCAGACAAAATTATTGAAATTTCTTTAATAAATTTTTCTTCACCGTTTGCTTTTTTATAGAAGGGAGAGCAAACAAGCAAGCGGCTCGCCTGATGGTAAGTGACTACCACCGCCCTTGAACAACCGCAACACCAGGGGTATTGTAGGTGCGTTGCCGGCCTTAGAAAGCAGTAAGCTCATTTCTTGAAGGTCCCTAAGTCGTATCGGTCCGGAAAGATTGCCGGTGGTAACAATTCCACGGAGAAATTGTCCGAGGAAGAAAACTCCTAGTAAAACGCAAAGTGGTGGACCAACAAGCATCCAGTGGTGAGGATAACGTGAATTTTGACGCGATGTGCGTTCGTGAAATTTGACGCCTTGAATTAATCCGAATAAATTCCTGAGAGCATTTCCCGTGGTAGATCCGATAGAAAATGCAAAGGGATGCAACATCCCTTCGCAGCGTCAGTGGTCGTTGACGATTCGAACTGCTCTGCGCTGGATGCGGTCAAATGGAAGGAGCTGGCACTGGGGTGCCCCGGCCCAGAGATGAGAACATTATTCCATGTGAGGCCGAACTTGCGCTTTGTAAAAATGCAAGCGATGTGCCGGCATGAAATACTGTCCCGCTCTACTGAGCACGCCAAGCTATTTAGAGGCCAATTTAGCCTTCCCTTCCAAGTGACCACGAAACTGCACACTATTCGATATGTCGACGCCAAGGATTCCGATGCTAACTGAGGTAGTAAAGGGAGTGCCTTGAAACTGAAGAGATACAACAAACGGATTCCTTTTAGCGGTAAACGCGCATACTTGTGTCTTCTGGGGATTAAACTAGACTAGATTTCCACGACTTTGTTCAGCAAAGACTCGGCTTCAGACAAGTTTGTCCCGGTACTCGGCGACGTTCTCCCGAGAAATATTGGCACGGCCGATGTACAAGGCATCATCAGTGCTGTCATCTGCATAGCAATAAATGTTACATACATACGTTTGCAACATATCATCGACATGTAGAAGAAATAGCGTTGGTGATAGGATGCAGCCTTGTGGAACACCAGCGTTAATAGGCTGGTAATCAGAGCATGCACCATCTACTAGGACCTTGATGCTCCGATCAGCAAGGAAACTGGTGATCTAATTGCACAATTTCTCCGGAAGCCCATAAGAAGGGAGCTTCGAAAGAAGTGCTTTGTACCAGACCCGATCAAAGGCTTTCGCTATGTCCAATTTGCTCTGACCTTGCCTTGCCAATGACTCATTTGAAGGGCCTCGAGGCGGAATTATACTTCTTATTAAGAGAGCTGGTGTTTACATCCTGATACGTTGATGCGTCAGCCCAGGCCTGGTAGCAATGCTGCTTATAGCGTGATGCTATTTTACAGGAGCGACCAAACCATGCCTGGGATCTGCCTCCCACGGGCACCATAGAGGATGGAATAAAATGTTCCATACCCTGAAGTACCACATCTGCCACAGAATCAGCAACAACGCTGGTATCGTCCGGTGAGAAGCAAAGCCGTCCAAGGGTAAGATGCAAAAAAAGACAGCATCCTATCCAAATCGGCCGACCTATAGTGCCAAACACACGGCGGCAGCCTACAGAATGCGACCGAGAAATTAGTGGCACTACACTCCAGACAAGACAATAGTTCGAGGAGCCAAGAGGGGCGTCAAAAGAAACCTGATATCCGTCCGGATGAGATGAGTCAGCAGAAGGTCCAATAGGTAGTTTAATTAGGTAGTCCAGTTGTAGTTTTTTATTTGATTCCGCTACCATGTTAAGGGTGGTGGGGGGATTGGGCCTCCGGCCACCTGCACTTACCAAGCGAAACGCAGAAGTAAACTTCTACTTCACGCTGATATTCTGTGAGGTCGTAGTACCAAGTTTAAAAATAGTACAGTTGACCGTGTGAAAAACACCGTATAAAAATCGTTGTTTATTAAAACTTTAATAGGTAACTAACTTTATATTAAATGAAGATATCGCAATATGTTTTTTTTTTTTTGATAAGGGTCAAGTGTCTACGAAATAAAACTTAGAAAACCTAATTGAACTCTATCCAGTAGTATTTCTGTGATGCGCACACAACTGCAAGTCGCTATCATTTTATTTATATATAGATAGATGATAAACGGAACTCATCAACTCTACAGGATAAACAGAAACAGAAAATGATCACGATGTCACAATATAAGGTTAAAACATATTTCATACATCTTTTGACAGTAAACGAAAAAGTTAAAAAGCCAATCAAATCAAATACATTCAGTAGCTTTAGATAGCTTTCAGCAGATTAATAGGTCAAGGTCGACAGATTGAAGTTACCGTATCTGTCAAGAAATTAAATTACGAAAAAACTATAATAATGTCTAATGCATAGATCAACACAGGCCACCAGCGACGGCCGTGTTGCTCTATGTGTAAGTATATGAAATTTTATAAGATACAAAAACGACGTTGACGGAAACCAAACTGCTAATCGGAGTGTAAACGATCGCATTAGAAATGGAAATAGATTTCCTTATGCAATATAGATTTTATATAACATTTATTGAAATTCATTTTTATGTTTAATTTACCACTGGTTCGGAAAATACCTCTGTCCTGGGAAGATTTAGCAATAAATCCAGCGGGACAGTTAAAGAAAAAAAAAAACAGAAAAGAGAATACAAATCATTAGAAAGGTCACCTCATTTCCAGAGGACATTATTAAAAAAATATATATCTTTGTTTAATGTCGCCACGACAACAAAAGCAATGATGAACTGAATAAAATTGAACTTAGTAATAATTACGTTATTAGAAAAGAAAGAGGTTTTCAATTCCATTGTAGTTTCTTATTGTTACTCGATATCTTTGAAACGATTTAAGTCATTCTTTTTATTATACCACCGGCACCGGAACACGAGGCGCGCCTCCATCACCCTCTAGGTTAAGGAACCTCCCACACCCCACCCCCGAGTCGATACTAGGCCAAGGCCAAGATAAGTATAATGACAACCATTTTGAATATAGTTAAGAGAACTTATAAGTGGAATGATTTATGAAAGAAAGGCACTATGTTATATTATATATATATATATATATATATATATATATATATATATATATATACTATGTTTATAGCAAAAGATGACAAACAAGCCCACAGTCCACCTGATGGTAAGTGGTTGCTGTGGTCTATAGACATCTACATCTACCCTCGATTATGAATCAAAATGCAGATGCATTGTCACTAGTGAGGACTAAGATGGAATGCCTTGTTGAAAGGGTCCCCGGTTTTCTACACTCACCATACGAAACACAGCAGCG